CCCCCACCCTCCTTACCCCGGGCCCTGGCAAGGCCGACATTTTCGACATTAAGGTTGAAACATTTCTGATCGACCAAAACGCGTCCGCCTGGCGTGGTGGTGGTGGTGGCGCGAGCTTTTAGGACGGAGCTGATTTCCGCTGCAGCAGCGGGGCAGGGCTCCCGTATGTGATTGACAGAGCCTTCCCCCCGCCACGACCCTCTCCCCCCGCGACCCGCGGCTTCCTACGCCGTCCTCCCCCATTTCTGAAACTCGCTTTCGCCTTCGCCGTTTTCTTTTCCACATGTATACGTATCGCGGAGGTATACGCCTGTGTGGCGTAATAAGTCTTCAAGTCGGGACACGGGGTAAACTGACTGACACGCCGCGACGCCGCGGTGGGAAGGTGTCAGGAGAGAGAGCGAGAGAGAAAAGGGGAAGAGGGGGGGGGGATCTGACTACGTATACTGCTAGTCTTGTCTTGTGACGGCCCAGGACCATAAAGGATGATGAAGGGGGGTGAGTAGAGCATAGCACAATGGTTGCTCTATGTTTGTTAGCTGCTGCTGCGTGAAAATATGGACCGCAGATGATTACAAAACAGAATTTTTATCTCTGGGCGTAACCTACTCAGACTTGACATAACGTATTTCTGTAATATAGCAAAGGAAAACTATGTATGTCTCTCGGTTGAGCTCCAATTTTAAGTTAGTGTAAGTTGACATGGCGGAGCAGTTTGCGGTGCGAACAGAGCTACTGCGTTGCGATAGGTACAGCCACATAGAAAAATAAAACTACCACTGCTTTTCAAACAATGTGTGACGTCACAATCACATTGAGACAACTCCAGTCACTAATGGCTCTCCAGTACTTACCCATGGCTGGGGGAGATCCGAGGCCGTGGCCTAGGCCGTGGCCGGGTGGTGGCGGGGCCGAGGTAGCCAGAGCGCTGGCCGAGGCCTGGCCGCGAGGCCAAGCAGACTATCAGGTAGCGCCGAGGCCGAGCGGGCCCGGTGGTGGTCCGGCCAGGGCGAGGGCCAGGGGGCCCATGGCGGAAGCGCCGGCCACTACCATGGCCACGGGCAGGGCCTCGGCGGCGGGGCCTCGGGGCGAGGCCCTCAGGGCGGCACCGACCGGTCCATCCTGCAAACCAAAGGGAGCGCTCGTTAGACTCAAACACCACACCGAGAGAAAAAAAATTGCAGTTGATTTCGATTTCATAACATGAAAATATGATGGAATTCTTTCCTTAACTCCATAGAATTGCATTGATTGTAAAGTTCCTGTGGGAAAAGAAGAACCCTTTGAAGTAGCCTACAATTTTATCACAGTTTCCATTGATTAAATTGCCATTGACCCAAAGCGTCCAAAGGTACCCTCCGTTAATTCATTGGAAGCATTTTTCTTGGTGCAACAATAACTTTCACATGCGGCAGTAGTCCGATAAACTCACATGCAACCGCGTGCACAAAAATGGATTCAACCTTAAAAGCATCCTAACCAAGTCGTTTACAGACGCCTCGAATGAAAGTCGCTTTTCTTGCAGCTCGCGCTGCAGTGAATGAGACGCCACACGCAATGCGTCTGCTGCACTCAATTCTCTCGCACCTCATCGGTGGCAGCGACGCCGCGGGGTAAGGGGGACGGGAAGGGGGCGGGGCTGCGACTTAAGGTCGGCTCGGACCCGCTAGAAATAGGTCCACCGGCCCCCACCACAACCCCCTGGGCCGAAGGGGTTAGGGGGACGAACAGCGGGGACGGACGGACGCAGGACGCAGCATCCGCGACGCGCCGCGGAAAAGTTCCGCGCCGCCCAAATTACATAATTTTGTTTTTTCACCAAACAGTGAGGTGTGCGCCCGCGGCTGAGGAAACAAGGGGGGAAAGGGTGGAGGCGAAAAGGGGAGAGCGTGAGCGTGGCGCTAATCCGTCTAAATAATTATTTCACTAACTAACCGGGGGAACGCGCCCATTAGACCTTTCCCCGCCTGTCAAGTGACCGGCGGCCAGCCAGCCGGCTGGTGGTGATGGTGGTGGTGGTTGGGCTGGTGGAGCCTTTTCATAGCGGCAAGCTAACAAAAGGGCGATGGGAGGGG